TGGATATTTTTTTAAAAATATTTTAATTGCTCCGAGGGCATTCTAATTTTGGTAAAAAAATAATTTCATTAAAATCGGTTCTATAGTTTTCGCAAAATAATTTTTTGAAAAAAATTTTCGAATTTTCAAAATGTTGCACAGTGTCAAATAAAACATCTAGATACATGAAATTTTTTTCACATATAAAAGACCGCTCAACCTTTCAAATGGTTTTTGAAAAATTGAAATCGGTTGATTAGGACCGCCACAGTAAATATTTAGAGTTAACACTCTTTTTTTATTTTGAAATAATTAGATTTTCAATTTAGTTTTTTCCAAAAATTATAATTTTAAAGTACTCTGTAAGATGCTTCTTAAAAAAAAGTTAAATTCCATTTATTGGTTCTCGAGATATAAGCGGTCAAAGTTTATCGGCATTTACCGTTAATTTATAAACAATTTAGCAATAATCTTTGATTAAATGACTTCGTTTTTCCGAGTTTTAAGCTGGAAAGAAATTTCATATTCATAAGTTATCGGCAACAAAGATACATCAGCGGAAAAGCTGTCTTTCGCACGTGCGAAAAGTGAGTCAAAACACGAAAAGTGGTGGAGGGGGCTTTCGCTCCGAGACTGAATTCGGAGGTTCAAAATGCGAAGGTACGAATTAATAGCATTATCTCGACTTCTAATGGACCAATTTAGATCTTTTTTTTAAATCTGATATCTCGCGAGTCAAGGAAATCGAATATCGTAATGCCAACTAATGTCTAACTTACACATATTTTGTTATAAACAAAGTTTATTATTTATGCATTAAATATACTGTATATTTTACCCTATGCTATTGCATTTTTTCAGTGAAAAAATTTGTTTACGTATATATTTCAACACTCTGAATATGAATATATTTAGTTATAATTATTACTATTATTTAAATAATTTTTGTTTAAATGAAAATTTTTTTTATTTGGAAATAAATTTTTTCCTAAAATACAGTTAAATTAATTAAAAATAGTACTTTAAAATTATAATTTTTGAGAAAAACTAATTGCAAATTGATAAATGTAATCTAATTATTGTTTAAAAATAAAAAAAAATCTTAAAAAATTACTGTGACCGTCCTAATTAACCGATTTCAATTTTTCAAAAACCAGCAGTTGAGCGGTCTTTTCTGTGTGAAAATATTTTCAAGTATCTAGATGCTTTATTTGAGGCTGTGCAACATTTTGAAAATTCGAAAATTTTTTTGAAAATTAAAAAAAAAAATTATTTTGCGAAAACTATAGAACCGATTTTAATGAAACTTGGCGCGTTATTTTACTATACTTAAAGTTTTACCAAAATTAGAATGCCCTCGGAGCAATTAATGTATTTTTAAAAAATTATCCAAAACACTTTATTTTGCCTTTTTTTAATCAATTATTGTTATTTTGCAACATCGGTAATACATTTAAACATTTTTAACTTACAGTATATTGTGCAGAATTCAATTCTAAGACTTTTTTCCTCTTCAATATTCTTCCAAAATGCATAGGTTCCAAGATATAAGTAAAAAACTCAGATAAAATAGGTAGGTATTTTTTAAAATTTTTTAAACATATTTGCAATTTTGAAAATGTTCCGGACCTAGCCCGATCTAGGGATTTACAGTTTTATTATGTGAGTTGTACTGAAGGTAATCCAGAAAAAAATGTGGTCTGATAACTTCATTACTAATAATTCCAGCCCAAACGTTTACGGGGAATCTTCTCTGAAACTGGGTTTCTTGAATAGCATGAGAATTTTCGATTGCCCACACATTATCGTAGTGGAAATTGTCAATTCCATGTCTTGTAAATGTAGCTTCGTCATAGAAAAGGGTTCTTGAAAGAGTATCCAGAAATACCAAATCAGAAATACAGCTAATAATTTTGATTCACTGTATCCATGGATATAAAATAAATTCAAAATATCTTCATTAGGATAATTATATTCTGCATTTTTCTTGTCGAGAAAGTACTTGATACTCGTAGAATACTAAATGACAATACCAATATTTGCCTTTCAAGGCACATTTGATGATATTTTAACGTAATATTCTTGAGAATGTAAGTAAACCGCAAATATCTGAGAAAATTTAAACTGCAATCCCTACAATTCCTATATCGGTGAAAAGAGTATTTGATTTTCTATAATATGATGCAGAAAAATACAGGAAGTTGCATTTGAATTTAAAAAGTTTTGTCGGTTTTAAGATTTCAAAATGTAACGTGAAAAATGGGACACAGTATAATCTTCTTCAGGTAATTTTGATAGTGGAAGATAGTGCATCTTATGTTCTTTGTATATTCCGAAAAGCAAGTGAAAACTCCCAGAATAAAGAAAGATATAACGAATTTTCGAAATGCTTGCAACTATCAAAATTTTCATAAAATGTCTATATCTCGAAAACTGCTAGATTTAGATACAGGGAAGCTTTAACATTTTTAACTTATTTTTAATTTATCTTGTCGATAATGCAATAATATATAGGCGGAAGTGCTACGTTTATGGCATTATTTTCATTGAAGAGAACATATCTGATAACCCCCGTAAACAAAATTTCAGTCATTTGTCTTTGGTTCCTCTGAAACTTTTAACAGGCCACTTACCGTATACCCTGTATAAATGTTTTTACTAATATTGAAAAAAAAGTGAATATTTAGTTAACAATAATTTAGATGTTTAGTAATGACAATATCAGTAGAAGTAGTTTTAAAAATATGTCATTTTCAGTAATTAGCCATCGCTATTTACTTCTACAATATAATTTGGTTTAATGGCATACATTATTTGTAAAAATTAAAATAAAATAAAAATAATTTGAAAAAATAGAATAAAAAAGATCCCACTCTAGAACCTGTCTCATAAATTTGCATATTGAAAGGCGATTTTTTCAAAAACCTTTTTTTTTGTTTCAAAATAAAAAAACTAAAAATAAAACTCTAAACGAACAAAATTTAAAAAAGCTTATGACAGCTTTAGTTTTTGCCAAGTTATAGGTAGGTAGAAATTTTTTTACCTAAAATATTCGGATGCTTATAACATCTTGAGGGGCTGAAATAAAAATATGAATAAGGAAGATTAAAAATGGTCCCGTGATTTGTCATGGAATGTTCCATATAGTGATGTTTTTTGTATATTCTATTTGTCTGCTTATTTCAGTGTGTTTTTTGGTTGATCAAAACCATTTTCACAAATAACCCTTGACTAATCCTTGTGGCGAAAGGGGTTATTTAATTAATTTTTAAATTTTTTCAAAGGTGCTAAAATACCCAACAATTAAGGAAAAAAACTTATTTTTCAAATAATTTACATTTTTCACAATTTCATTTATGCTTTTATTATATGAGTGATGGTATTTGTTTCTAATACTTTTAACAACAACAATCTCAGTTTTAGTATGTTAATACAAGTTTTTGATTTTGAAAAGTTTGATGGTTGGGCACAGACAAAGACAAAATCAGTGCCTACTAGAATTTAATATTACTGTAGACATCTAATATTCTTTTGTACTTAATTAAACTCATTTCATGAAAATTGTACAAGAGACAAAAAACTTCCAAATAACATCACCACCACTCGAAAAATATGTATTTGTCATGTATTGCTTGAACGAAACAAAAGTTATGGACAAATATTTTTACCATACATGAATTTTCTAGCACCTGTAAGTCTTAAAAATCACTCTGTAAAATACAAAACATGTCCATTAAAAGCAAAACCCTAGTCATAAATATTTTAACCCGGCTATAGTTATTTAAAAAATTCAAAATTTTTTCCATTTTTTTCTATGAAAAGCAGGTAACTAGACTAGATTTTAGACTCATAATTTTACTTACAAAAGAAAAACATGAACAAGATTTTTAATCACATTTTTGTTAATAAATACTCAAATTTATGCATTTGCGAATTTGCGTTGTGTTTTGAATAACGAAAATGTAAAATCAGTCCTACCGCGAAACAAAATTTCTCTCGTCTTTCTCTTTCTGCTTGAATGTCACAAATACCAACGAAACCACCATTGTGGACAGGAAAAAATGATATTACTCATTACTTCTCATTCTATTAACCTAATAAGTTATCCAAGTATGTAAAACGAAAAAATCGTCGTCCGAACTAGAAATTCTGCGCTGAAACTTGAGAATTGCGTATTGCTTATATTTCTTACAAATAAATACGTTTTATTCAATTTAAATGTCCAAAAGTTAATACACTTCCTTCGTTATTTAATTTAAGAAATGTAGCAACTGCGAATTGCGCGAAACTTATCTTCCAATAAAATTTAATTTATCACTTAACATGAGTTTCTACTTTCGAATAGCGATAGACTCAGTAATATAACTCGAATATCGTATATTACTGCGTTTCTGCAGTGTATTCAAGGTAATTCTAATGGTGCGTCCGTTGCAATTAAGTCCTTGTTGCAACGTGCCTTACGCATGCACTTGAGGTGCACTCTCCCGTACAGGGTGTCCCGTTCAACACGGATTCGTTCATAATCCATCAATTCTCTAACAACGTCAGTAATACAACAGTGTTTCTTTTAATAGTTGCACCAAAACAGGATCCGTCTTAAATGTAACACACTGTAGCTTTGTCAAAACCAAATATCAAGTACGCAGGTTTAAAAACACACACGCTCTAATTTCATTGACATTTCGCATACTGTAAAATTGGGGTGCCCCAGGGAAGCAGCCTAGGGCCTCTTTACGTGTAAACGCGTTCCATAACCTTATCCAAGGACAAAAAGTGTTTTTGCGATTTTACATGTAGAGGCATTGTAATATATTGTAAGGAATGGTTGTTTTTTTAATCAGAACATGAACTTTGTGTTTGGGCAATTATTCAAAATTAATATATGCGAAATTGCTCGTAAACAAGTTTTTTTTATTTTAATTACCGCTGATTTGTGCAGTTTTCTTCGAAGTGGTGTATAAAATTAACTTCTTATATTAATGGTGTCAACGGTCAATTTTTTTTTATGTAATTAGTGGAACAGGTTGTAGCAGTCGCGTCCTAACATTTAATAGTCGTTTTCTGTAGAAAGAGTTTTTAACAGTAACTAAACTCGTTTTTGGTATCAAAAATTAGAACCGTTTTAACACTTTTTGGAATTTATGTAATAAAAAATTAATAAAATCCGCAGGTTCTTCTTCCAGCACAACTGTATATCAAACAAAATACAATTTCGCGACAGATAACGGTAAGTACTACTTTTTTTACTATTTGTGTTGCGTAAGAATGAAATACGAACGTATTATGGTCAATTAGTGGTTTGCTAGACAAAATTGATCAATTTAAGTCATAGCCCATGAAATGCCGCCACAGCATGTCTAGATTTGTTACCAAAACGTTTCTCACAATCTTAAGATTGTTTCATGAAGTATCTGGAATAAATTCTCAAAGATTCAGGTCTGGAAATTTAGTTGGCGGGTTCCTTTTATTAATTTCTAAGATATATTACAGAAATTCAACCTAGCTTTATTCTAAATAGATTATGTTTCTAAACTAGCGTTCTTTGTCCGCTTAGGAATAGCTCTGTATAACTCAGATCTGGTTATTTGGAAGGTTTGTTAGTTTTTCGTTCATTTAAAAAAAATCGATTCAGATTCAGAACTAACAAATCTAGATCATGACTATGGTGAACACCATATCAATACCTGATAGCATACAAGGGGTACCGATTGTTATGAATGAAAATAATTAAATCTTGTGGTTTATTTTAATACCGATGTAAACAAAGATATTTGAATAAATATAAAATGTAAATTAAATCTGAGAATTTTCGCATTTCTACACATTTCAAACAAAAGTCCACGAATTGCAAAACTATGTGCGAACCCGTTTTAAACGAAATCTCAGGAATACTGTCTCACGTATTGTTTTCTTCTTATTATGTAACACTAAGAAATCGGAGATTGTAACAGTTAGAAACAATAGAATATTACTGTTGTGTTATGCATGAGAAAAATAGGCCACTTTTGATTTCTTTCACACACTTATGTGACCTCCAAATTTTTTTACGCCGCTGGTACCCCTAAAGTATACTGTCACATATACAGGGCATGATAAAACTTCTACGTAAGGGAAACTTTACTCAGATCTTTTGTCTTTCATTTTTCAGAATACATCGAGAGAAACACCAACGACTGTCGCCGGAAATTTTTAATACCGCACTGGTTCTGTGATGAAGTGTTTTTAGTGATCTAGTTTTAATTGAAATAGTGTTTAAAGTGTAAATTTTTAGCCTAAGAAAACATTTAACAAATAAGCATGAAAGGAAGAGAGAAGCTTTGCGCCAAACTGTCCAGCGCCTTTCTTAGGAAGTGGTGTAAGTACCTTTTCCGTATATTTTGTCCCGCTGATCGTCCTGATACGATTCCCCTTGACCACTGCGCGTCAGAACCTGCTATATCATATAAATACGCCTATAAACTGATTCTGAAGTGTTTCAATTCTTAAGATGAGCTATTTTTTTAAATAAATAATAGTTTAATTTAATTTAAAAACTGTACAAACGAAAAATCTGGACTTTGTATCATTTTTTACATCTTTTTTACGCTTATTTATTTGATATTCAGTCAGCTGAGGGGAAAAAGGTGCGCGGAGACAATTGAAGATCAGCTAATCGATCTGTGTTAAAGACCTGAACTGGAACGTTTTTGTAAAAACCGACAGTCGAATTTATACCGTAAAATTTGTGTTTTGCAGATGCAAAAGAAAGGATGTTGTTAATTTCATATAATCTGCGAGAGGACTGGTTATTAGTCTAGTCTAAATTAGATAGTAGATTGTTTGTCCTACATACCGAGGAATAACCGGTTAATTAAATAATTATTCGAATGCACTTTGGCAAATATCCTTTTCCGGGAGCAAATATGTCGAAATATAGAACTTATTGAACTTTGATTTGGGATCATGTTAATTTATTAATTTCAAGTATTTTTTCACTCAAACAATGCATCTCTGAATAAATATCCGAAAATCATCAGCCACTAGATATCTTGAAGTACTGCGATTCAGACTCCTCGACACGGAGTAAAATGTCTTCCTATTTAAGACACGTCTTTCTTGTCCGTGACCTTTATACGTTGTATTCACTCTACCGGTGCTCCAATCATGGCTGTTGCCTTTTTCACAAAAAATCACATTTAAATATATTCGCACTCCCCGCTGCATAAATGTCCGCTAATTCTTGATTTCAATAAGGCATTTTGAAATAAAACAACGTAAATCAATTGAAGTTGACGATAACAAGACACGTTTACGCCTGCGTCGTGCAAATAACCACACTGAACTTGACCTAGTTACTATATTGTAAACAGTTGATGAGTTGATTAAGTGGGGAGTGATGCATGGTCGGCCTAAGTTTCGCGTAACAATTTTCTAACGTGTAGTTTTCAATGGGAATTTTAAAATTACAATAATTGTTCGAAATTGTTTCCGTTTTCGTGAACACAGGACCATGCTCGGCGTGTCGGTATGCAGGATGTTAGTAATGCTCTTTGATGACGAATTATTTCTGGAAATAAAATCAACTCCACAACAAGCCTATATGAATCAACTCGCCTAAATTAATACCAACCTACAACAAACTTAAACCTAAACTGAGAACAAAAGCGATTATTAAAATGTAAATATCTCTGTTATTGTAAAACTTTTATTAGTTATTATTATCAGCTATAATTAAAGTCGGCTTCTGAAAACACCCTATATGACGAAAAGTATTCAAATTCAAAGTAGGTACATTTTTAACCAGTGCCGGAGCAAGAGGGGTATGATACTTGTTAATATCTTGATGAATTTAAGCTGAGCCTTTGTTTTTTCACTTATTACTGTGTGATAGTTCTTACATATCTATTTGAAAATTTTACAGCTTTGTTTTGTAGCAAATCAAATGGTAGTATTTTTTAAAACGTTACCAAAAATATCCGGAAATTTTTCTTATAAATTACTTACAATATAAAATGCAAATTACAAATATAAATAGTGTATTTTCTCATTCTCGTAATTTTAAAGTATAATTTGAACTAAAATAATTGGTAATTTGTTTTTATTGCCTAAGCGCTAGTATGTGATTCTAATTTTATTTGAGTTATACGCGGAAAAATACCTACGTGTTGCGTTTTATTATTGTGGACAAATAAAATTAGCAACTACTAGTAATGTTTTTATTAATTTATACAAATTTTTCCCATAAAATAATTCGAACAATAAATAGAGTAATATTAATACAAAATTACATATGATAATTATTAGTAAGTGTGGGTTGGTTTGAGTTATCAGTTTGCATCTCGCTGTTTTTTGTTTTATTGTCGTCTTTTGTTATATTTTGGTCATGACAGTCCTTCTCATGTCAAGTAAGGCATGAGATTAATTGGCTGTTACTGTGCCCTGTAATTTTAATAAGTTGCTGTTTTGGCCAAATTTGAGACAGCAGAATGATTGGTCATTTTAATTCTTTTAGTGTCAATGCCTATTGCCTTCAAACGAACTATTTTCGCTCTGCGTGGTCAGTGGGCTTCATTTGTTCAGTCAATTGAACTATGTAATCAAAGACTCATTTATTATAAGTATATAGGCATGTGTTCACTGCAGAACTCGATAAAACGTTTCGTTACACTTTGTTTTATACTTATACAAACACAGCCGGACTGGGCGACCGGCCATAAATTTCAGTTGTAGGCAAATTGCCTAGCAGTGCAGTGCAGCAATGCGGAATTTGGTGTGACTCGGGTAATTTTAATTTATTATAGGCACCTTCTATTAATCATTCATATTACAATTGCAAAAGGTATAAGGCTATAAGAGGGATATTTTGTTTACTAATATTATTACAACATGGCATTTTTGAGATCTTTTGAAACGGAACAACACGAAATACCGCCGGACAATATTGAATTAGTAGAACCGATTGTTGATGAAACAGATTTAAAATTTAAAAATAAAGAATTACATGTTCAATGTCAGAGTCCCATTTTAAATATTCACGTTGATTAAAAAAGGAAGAGAATGAAAAATCAGATAATGAAATTACTTATAAATAGAATTAGAAATAATGTTATTAAACAAGGTGTTATAGATCATTGCGTAAAGAGGAAGTGAAAACAAAAATTTAAAAATATCGATGACATGACGGGAGACGTAATTTAGCGGAAAATTTATAATTTATATAAAGAAAATTGAGGACATACAATAGAAATTTTTTACACATTATATACAAATTTTTATTATTTTACCTTTAGCAGAAAACTTTTTTAGGGACGCCTATGAAACTCATTAAATTTTATTGTTAGGCGTGTTTATACATGTTCAACTGACTTCGGAAGGATTATAGTTTTAGGTATTTTAATTTTGAATATCTCTTCGAATTACTGATTGATCTTCACCGAAACGATATTTTAAGACACTATAAAACAATTTCGACAAAAATTTACGTCAACGTAACAGCAATAATAAATCATGGTTTCTTTACATTTTGGTTTCAATATTCTACTTCAAAATGTCAGGTTTGATGTTAAAATACTATTACGTACTCATAATTTTGGCGTGAAATTTTCTTAGCAAATACTTCATGTGCCTAAATTGTTTCTTGGAAAGTTTTTCTTGGCCACGAACATTTTTAAAAAACTAGATAATTTTCAAAATATTCGTACCCTGGAAAAAACTTTGCATATGTATAAATTAAACACCAGTCATATAAACACAACAAATTTGCAAATGAGAACCAATTTTGGAACTCAAATAAAGCTATTTTACGTGAAGACCGTGTGACCGATTTAAAATTGCAAGTTTATTGTAATTCGCAGTGAAATTGTTATTTGCGCAACCGTTATCTTATAAATAAGTGTATTACTTTAGCTACCTACTTAATGCAAGTAAATGCCAATTCCTAACCGATTTATCTACTACTAGAAACCGTTATTATGAATTGATTAACAACATTGCGTTGCAGTAAACAAAGTAAATGTGTAACACCGCTTTGCAATTTTTATAATTTAAAATAATGTCTGATTTTTACGTCAGTCAACAATTTCCTTTGTTATTTTTCTTAAATCGCCCTGTATATACCACATAGTTTACCTGTGACGAGTTGAAGCCTACACTGAAAAAAGGATTTATTTGGACTAAATAAATATCGTTTGCCATGAACTAATCCTAGTTTTGGATATTGCCTAGCATATATATTGTGAAAAGTAACTAATAATAAGTTCATAGTTTTGTAATAAATCTTATTTGAATGTTAATTTATTTTTATTGTAATATCACATTTCGCCTCTTTATTATTAATCTACATATTTTAAGATGTAGATGACATAAAATTATTAGAAATATATCTTAGCTTAATGTGAACTAATAGTTTTTCAGTGAAAATAGATTTTAATATTAATAAATGAATGGTTTATAAAAAGTGAATTGTTTTTTCGCTAAAATTTGACGTATTTTTTTCTAGATTAGTCTCAAAATTATGTACTTTCTCAAATTTAATTAAACTGATAATTAGATAACTTATATAACTAAGTTTATAATTTTTGAAATGGTACATAGTGTTGAGATCTACAAATAGAGAAGCACATACGAGTATATACGATACTTTTATTAGAACATTTCATTTTTGCTAAAAATTAATTTTAAGATTTGTATTGCCGAACATATTATATACATACATATATCGATCAAAACTACTTGTCATAGTTGTTGACAGTTTAATGATTAAAAATAATTGGCGGATTGTTAAATTGGGTTTTATTATAAATTTATGAAACTACAACAGCAAAACTATGTCCTTATTTAAAACTGACTTTTTGACTATTATTACTTGTTTGACCGTAACTTCCACAGTTTCTGCATTCATTTTAATGATGAGTAAACGGAACACAGCACACAGCACTCTGTAACTATATGCACATGTTATATTATGAATATGATCTAAGAACAACAAGAAACACTACCTTTTGATATACTCGTAGTCCATACCGAGGTCCATACTAGCCTACTGAACTACACAATACACTACAGGCACCTTGCACACTTAGTCGCCATGATGGCGAAGATACGACTGTCAGGGGAGAACACAACTTGGTCACGTGATTGGAATAATTTTTAAATAATATATTTTACTATTGAACTGATAATAGTTTTAAACTATATAAAAATTTAACTTTTATAACCAGCTGCTTCACATTTAAGAAATTAAATATTTGGAATAATTTTTCTTTAAAGTTTAATTGTAACGTTAGATAGGCCAATATAAAATAATATTTATTAAATAAAAACGAATATAAATTTGTATTAAAAATTTATTCTTTTAATTCGCCTAACAAATATTCT